CCTCAAATTGACTCCTGGACTGCTGCAGGCTGCAGTGCTGCCTGTGCCGCAGGGCTCAGCGGCTGAACTGGTGCGCCTGCCTTGTAAGGACACGGAAGGCAGCTTTTCTTCAGAGCTCTGACATACCGACCGTGGCGCAGGCAAAAGATCCTGCAGTGAGCTGTCTTAGTTTCCCAGCTGCTAGCACCGACACAAGTCTCGCCCAGGTTGTGCAGCCACACATGGCAGCATGCCGTTTCTGCTGCCTGTGCGGCAGGGCTGGGTGGCATGGCCTGAACATGGGCCTCAGCCAGGAGCGAAACATGAAAGTGCTTGACGACTTGGCTCTTCGGCCGATCCTGAGCACACTGCATCTGAAAGACTAAGATGCCCACAGCCAGAGATGCAGCCACACCTCCAACGACCTGCATTTTGCATGCCCGTTTTGTTGTGAAGATGTTGGCAGTACATCCTCCAGACCCGAAGAACCTCAATCACCCGAGACTGCCCATGTTGCAGTTGAGTGGCCGGTGGTGCCACTGTTGCCACCTGTTCAGCGCTCGGGTATGTTGCGGGGCGCTGGGTTTCGTGCATGCCCCATGTCTGCCCGCGGCCAGGAGACGTCAAAGCTGTTGCAGATTCTACTGATTACATGCGCATCATACAAACGTCACCCGTCCCTAATTATGTGAGTTGACGGTGTGATGCCTGCGCAGCCGGCGTAGGTGGTGGCGAGGGCGGGATACCGGCGGCTGACCTCACTGCGCAGGGCTGTGCGTCAGCCATCCCGAAGCTAGTCAGCTAGTGCTGTAAAGACTTGATAACAATGGTCTTTTCGCGCTTGTGCCCGGTTTGCTTCATGTTCCGACCATCGAGAAGCAACACGGCTGCCGATAAACGTCGTAGCCCGCAAGCCCAGCTGATGTCTTGAAAGCTCTGTCTCCCCACGTCAGTACCCGCAGGTCGAGTTCTCAGAATCCTGCCCTGCAGCTGCTGCCGCCCTTGCGGCCGCTGCCGCGGCATCGGCCCAGCCATCGTAGAATGCCTTCTCCATCATGACACGCCTTGCAGAGCACACACACACACAGACACACAGAGACACACAGAGACACACAGAGACACACAGACACACACACACACACACACCAAGACACATGACAGGCCCCTTCAATCGTAGGGCTCCCTGACTTCGGGACCACTGGGCCGACTTGCTGGGTGCCGGACTGCTGATACACATCGCCAGTGCCAGTGTATCCAGGAACACCGGGCGCTGGAGGTGCAGCATATGGGCCTTGGGCCACCGCACAGCACTTCCCACAAGAGTTCTCATGGCCCTCTCAACCAAAACTGCAGCTTGGTCACCGTATGGCGTATAAGAAGGGCGCCGTGATCCGGCTTCTGGAGTATGGCACTGGCCGCCTGACTTTTGAAACGAAGTTTGACATTCCAACCTAAGGCGTTAAGTTTGACATCCTCATCGCGTTCAAGAGATGTTTACATGTCCTTTGCAGTGTACCAATGGCCTAGGTTTTCAAAACTCATTACCCGACAAGCCTGGCAAGGTCTATGCCGCTTGCAGTTTTGAAGAACGCGGTAGAAGCCCTCCGAGTGTGGGAGAGGCTCTTGCAGGCACTATTTACACACTCTGGCCCACGTCTACAGTCCATAGAGGTCGTTCTGCCAGGACCCAATGCCTCCGGTCGATTGCCCACCCGTCCTTAGCACATCTTTGCTGTACATCTCTGAGGCCGGGATAGGGTAGGGCTCTACGATACTTTAACTCCTGAACTCCATGCCAGCAATCACACTTAGGGACTTTATAGGTGCCTTATCATTCCTAGGTACAGAGGAGTCAGACATGGAACAACTTCGTGTCTAGGGCCCGGGATATCTCTCCGGAGGTGCAGCCAAAACCTGCAGAGCCTTTCCCTGCCGAAGATCGACACTTGGCGTGGAAGAGGTACGGACCTCGGTCGAAGGTACTGGTAGCAAAGGGTCACCGGGTTTGCAAAATATCCGGAAGTAAGGGCGGTGCCACTGCGCGTCCAGCGGCGGATGGTATGGGGCAGGTATCCTCAGCGCACGAACTGCAACCACTGTCTAATCTGACAAATCTCGGAAACCATCCGTGACGATGCTATGAAGTAGAACTGCAGAAGGTGCTATTGACGCAGTATGCCAATGCCTTGCCGAGGATCTCATGACCCACAGCTGACCATGGTGTCCATTCAGGTGCGGAGGCACGAAGACTTGTCACCTTGAGTCCGAAAGCACTTGGAGCTGCAGAACCAATGAACTGAAGAGTTTGAGATCCTGGAACACCGTCTACTGAGGCTGAGGCACCAAGAAAAGGGAATGGCATGGCTTCTCAACGGGAAACAATCGCAACTTCACGTTGGCAAGCGGGGTCGAATCTATTTCTTCCCGAAGCCTAAACGCCCTGAACCTTCGAGCCTTTAGCTCAGGACCCGTAACCCGAATTCAAACCCGCGTAAACCCCTTATCTCCGACATTCTCTAAATGGTTCGATGCAAACCCGACACAAATTCTGAACGCCGAAATCCTCAACTCTCAAACCTGTGAACCCTAAACAGTCATCTTGAAACAAAAATTCCCTGCAGAACTGACACCAAGTGTCTTTCTCGCCTTTTCCACGGGATGCCTGCCCAGGTGAACGCTGAGGCGCTTCTGCCAGATTGTGTGTCTGTGTACTGCTTCTGATCCGTAGGTCCTTGCAGTTTGCTTCGTCTGATGCCTGCGATTCGCTCTCTTGGTACTTGCTACATCGATTGTCACTACTCTCTCCCTCTCTCTCTCTGTCTCTCTCAGTGGCATTGTTCTGATGAACAGTGTTGTCCATGAGCAGTACCTATCGTAAGCATGACACCATCGACCAGGATCACGCAAGGGATTGTATTTTCTGCCCACTAACCCGGCACATCTCCGAATCATTGAACCCAATCAAACAAACATGGTCGCCTTCCTCAAACACATGCTGGCCTCAAATCTTGCGTGCACCTGGTTCCACGCTTCAGCTGGCATGCTTCGAAAGTCGCCCTTGGCAGGGTCTATGCTCATGCACGGAAAAGCAAGACAATCAAGATGTGAGGTTCGCTCGATGCATGTGGCCGCGTAGCTGAAGCTACTAGATGGCAGAAGACTTCACCTGCAAGCTTTACCGGCTTCGATCCGAGCAGCCATCGGGGACGGTCTGGGCCCTTGCTTGCTTTCCTGGCACGCACGGCAAATGTCATGTCAGCAGGGCTCTTGGCCTCTTATGCATCCAAGCAAAACGCTTCATAAGCTAAACCAGAAGACTCAGAAGACCTTGCGAGTAATTATGGAGCGGCAGCAGAAGACACCTCCTCACACTAATCACTTCCGCCTAATACTGAACGCGAGGCTCCCCTTCTGCAGAAATGGCTTAATCGGCTTAATCCCTTCCGCCTGGGCCTAATATTGAACGCGGGACCCCCCTCTGCAAAAAGAAACGTGTCTTTATCATTGGGGGGCCTTTATCTATTGACACTTTGGGGGATCCTGCTCTTGCTCTTGCTCCTGAACCCCTTCCAGTCCAAAATTCGAGGCAGGGATGATTTCATGTGAACTTTCCAACAAATGCATGGGGGGAAGGGATAAGTTCAGAACTGCTTACAGCACCTGGTGACTGGCCGACCACAATGGTGCATGCGATTCGAAGGGGCGAAGGAACCTACAGTACAAACCTCGCACAAGGCCCAAAGGCCTTCTTCGAGTTGGAATCAATAGGCTGCTCGAAGCTTGCCTGCTTTGGCCCATTGGCGATTCGTGCTTGGGACAAGGCTTTGTACACAGGCTGCGTCGCGGTCCACCCTACGCCATGGAAGCCGCTCGCAACCTCTGAAAAACCTTTGTGAACAGTCCCCGCAGGGACATCTGATCCTCATCCAGAATGCTGCCGCAACTATCAAGCCAACCGCAGGAGTTGCTGAAGCAAGGGGATGCAGAACCAGACCTCTGAATCTGATAATTCCGCCGCGATGCACTCGAACCCAAGAAAGTATCAACCCCTAAACCTCACGTACCTCCTGATACGGGTTCAACTTGGCAGATGTGTCTGTCATCCTTGGCGAGCGAATCTTTGCCATGAATATGAATAGGGCGGCATCTGTTCATACCATGATCCCTTACACGGCTGTCTGAGCCGCAGGCTCTTCTTCTGCACTTTGGTTAGCTCCCATGGCCGGGGAAAGCGGATCCAGGGGTGAGAAAGAGGGCGGCAGCAGCCCTCTCGTTAGTTGGACCTGGAGTGAGTCTGGGACGAGGGCTCCGCAAACATAAGCTATCTTTCATGTGTATCTCCTCAGCCGTGGACATGATTGCTTAGACGTCTACCAATTGAAGCTCCTACATGTCGGCGCTCTACATTTGCTGCAGCTCTGCGTGCGGTTGGCTTCGCCACTCACTTCTTTTGGCACATCCAACATGACTGGTTCGGGATCATAAACTGCCTAGGTTGCCAAACGGCTGTCACATGCTTTGCTGCCGCCAGGGTCAAGCCTCTCCACTAAGTGGTTCATGGGCAATGCTGAAATGGCAGCGTTTCCAGAGAGGTCATCAGTCTGCCCAACTCATGTGCTGAACAGCCTTCTCGGTGTGGAGCACCCTCGACCCTTCAGCTCACTCCGATCTCCCCGTCCGGTCAAAGCCAAGCCCCTCAAAGAAAGATTAATCTCTGCCATGAAAGCTGGAAGCTTCAACCCGAATTCCAAAACCTCCACCCTCCCACTCAAAATCATTATATCTGTAATTACATGTATACATATATATATATATACACATATGTATTTACATATGTCGCTATCTATAAACATATACGCACATATTGCATCTCTCTCTCTCTCTCTCTCTCTCTCGCACACTCAAACATATGTATGTGCATATACATGCGCACACGCATGCACACACTCATACACATGGAATATGAACCACCTCCTGCACCCCCACACTCGCTCAGCGGTTCCGAAGGTCAAGGACAGTGCCGCCAGCTCCTCGGTTGGAGGCCGCTCGGCAGAAGCGAAGTGGCCGAGGTCCCATCTGCCAGTGCTTTAGTCAGGTGAAATTACGTGTTCTGTAACTGTATATGTATAGCATATGAATATCGTTGAACTAGACTAGAGTAGCATATTATGCTGTAACATATAATATCTATATCTGATCCTGCCTTCTATTGATTCTATTGGGTTTATGATAATGGTGCTGGTGGCGAGCTTGGAGGTGATCGTGATCATGATGATGTCCTATGTAATCAGTCTCTTCGCTGTAGGACCTAGGAGCTTTCAGCCATGTCAAACATCAGCGTGCATTGTGTGCCTCTGACAACGTATCCGTATGGCTCCTCAACATACAAATTTGATCTACGCCCTACCCTGGAAGTGTTCATCTCCAAGTGCTTTCGGTCATACTGAAGCTTCTCCTGCCAGCTCCTTGTCTTGACTGCTGCTGCTTGCATCGGAGCCATAAATGTGTGTGCATGTTCTCCTGGAGCAGCTAGCGTGGAGCGTGGTGTGTGTGGTTTGTTTAGGCTAGGTCACAGATCCGGCACATCTTGCTTGATCTGGCAAAACATGGTGGACATTTCGGACGAAATCTCATGTGGGTGGTCGCGTTTGTGGAGCTCCTTGTGCGAGGTCGGCAACCTCCTTGCCAGGTTAATGCCGCCTGGTGACAGGGCCGGGGAAACCTTACAGTAACCTGCAGCCTGCACACCTCGAACTCGCCGACCTAGAGACCGCCATGTTGCCGGGTATTGGAACTGCTTCAGCCAACAGCGGTCCGGTGAAACTAATGAAATAGTTAAACAACACATAATACATGATATTTAGTATATTATGCTCAGATGTATCATGCAGCGTCTAAATGAGCGCAATCAAGCAAGCAAGCCAGCTGCTCTCATAGTTGTTTCGGATGTCAAGGACCTTTCCCGGCCTCGGAAGAACTGCGCACGGCTCTGAGCAGGGACTATAAGGACTCTTGGTAGGGAGGTTTCCATAAAGGCTGTATGTATTCGAGATTCTAACTGCATTTTGTTTCTAACCCTGCTTAAAATCTTCGTACCACCCTACCTCCCGGTGATCTCTGGCACTACAGGATGCAAGGGTGAACAGCCTTCTCAGCTAAGGGCCCCGAGCAAGAGCTCCAATTAGGCAGAAACCGGTTCAACGACGAGAGTACCATAAGTAGAATAGGCCGCAAAAGGGAGTTGTTGATGTTGTTGCAACCGAAAATGTGCTGTAGGTTCTTGGAGTCTGTCTTATAGACTGGCAATTCGACGTTATCTTTCCAGAATACCTATGGTCGCCGTTACAAAATCGAATCCACAAACACGGCTCATGTGAAGGAACGTCAGGGCTTCCCTGCAAGCCCTTTCTGCACGCCCCAACTAGTCTATGACATGCAAACCCAAATACGAATAACGGTCAACCCCTCAAAATCCTATGAAACCACGTTGAACCATCCTGTCGAAATCCAGAGAGCAGCCGGGGCCCCGCACTTGCCTTCTTCGAGGCCTGCACGGCAAACACATTACTGAAATCCTCATGTTCACCAAGATGAAGATATGTATATATGTATATATATATATATATATGTATTCCTTGCTTGTGTATCTACACTTATATTCATACGGATATCTATATACATACTGCGGGATATTTAATGGTGTTTTTTATATATAAATATAAAACTATATACGTATATACACATATGGTTTATGTATATATATATATATACAGATAGATAGATAGATAGATACACACAGACACACACACTTTGTGCAAATACGTGCTGGGTCGGGGGACCATGGGGGCACCTTGCAAGCGACTTTGCCACTCCGCAGGCTCCAAGTCCTGCAACCAATGGCAAAACAAACTATGTCGGACACACTCGAAACCGAGCAACAGCGACGATGCATCTAGTGAGTAGTACTATCTCCGACCCGACCCGGAGGAGGTGGTCAGCTTTCCACCACCTACCGGCCCCGGCCCGAGAGAACCTCACAGCCTCGTGTCACCACACGTCAGCAGTCAACTAAGCAGCTCCTTCCCGCGATCTTCCATATCAAGGCTGTCATCGAGCCTGGCTGGGTCGGCCACCGGGAAAGGAGGACTGTGCTTTCAGTGCTTTGCTGCGCTTGTTGGTTTGGTGCGGTCTCCGGTCTCGAGGTGGCGTCGAAATATCCTGCTTGCGACACAATCCCTGATGGTTTCGGCAGCATCAACGGTGTGAGCCCACAGGTGTCTACGGGGTGCCTGGGTTGTGTTGTGCATGCATGGGAACGCTCGGCGAAGTAAGTAGGGTTAAAGTCCTTTCCCACCTGTCTATCAATAACCGCTTCGGCATGGGTATAGCGCGCCACCGGAACAAGGTAAGCACGCCTATCAGTCAACCGGTCTTTGCATTGACCAGCACTTGCGAGCACAAAGAACGTTACCTGACCTCATCGAATTGCAAGAATGACACAAGGACGCGGTTCCTGGTCGTGCCACCGCAGGGCAAGCCAGAAAGCATGCGATGGCCGCTGTCCGCTTTTCAAATTCCCCCAAGCAGGTCGGACAGGACCGCGGTGACAAGGAGATAAGCTTCTTGGCCTCCCAGAACAGTGACAGCTTGCAGTTGAACCAGTTCTTGACGATCTCAAGCACCTGAAGACGTGTATTTCCCCAAAAAGATGGGAGTTGAATCCTCGCAGCGGTGTTGGGTCTCGATTGCCCTGAAGGTGTAGTAGAGTGCATTTAGTCCCCAGGGGCTGCGTCTTGCTTTTGGCTTGAGATTTCCTGCGACGCCTTTCTACCAGCGCTGAGCGAAACTGCAGAACAAATCAGAACACATGCTACTATAGGCGGTCCGAAGGAACTGCACGCTGCTACGACTTCCGCTTGCAGCTTCCCCCGAAGGTCTGCCGCGATCCAAAAGAAAGTCTCTAAACCCAGGTTCCGCTAAAGGCTCCAGTTAGTCCCTTCAGGTATGATCGAAATTGCGGAAATTCTTGAATTCAAGCTGGAAAGCCGAAACGGCGTAAGCCCGAATCCCCAGCCCATGGAAGCCGCAACCCGCAATGCTTTCTTTACACAGGCTTGATTGGAGCTCGCCCGGCCAGCCACCGTGAATTCAACCCTGAATCCCCGAGCCCTACTCGCCGAGCAGCCTCGAATCCCCAAGAACCCTGAGTCCAAGAGCCCCAAAACACGCATTAGCCATGAAGCCCTGAACTTCACTTCACTCCTTTGCTTCGCAGTTCCGCTTGGCCTTCACCCGCAATTTTGCAAACATAGGCTCGGGGACCTGAAAGCCCAAACAACTTCACATTTGCTTGTTTTCTTCCAATGTTACCATCATGATCTGGTTTGGGTTTTGTTCCTTCCGCCAGGCAAGCACGAAGCCCGCATAGGTGTAGCCTGGTGTACCGTCCGAAGAGCACACCGTTCAAGTCAGGTTTACAGGCTAAAGACTCTCGCAACTCGGACACTGCACAGGTTTCAACCTCCGGACCCACATCCGCTAGCCTCAAAATCCAGAACCTGTCCTGCCCAGGGTTGAGGAAACAGGATCCCGGTTCCGGTGTGGGAATAAGATGGCATAAGATCCGACATCTGCCTCGCATCAGCTCGTCTTTGCTTCGATACGCTACCCCTGACACAGCGAAGGTCTTGAAAACAACGTCGGCTATGAGGATGCAAGCTGAACCAACTATCTCCCAATGACGCTGTGGGCCGGACCGGATCAAGTTTACAGAGCAGCGAAGCACCTGCCCATGCGGAACTCAGTCGCACAGGCACGATCACAATGCGTTACATGCTGTTGGAAGTCTGTGGAAGCTTGCGGCTTGATGGGCCAACCGATATGGCGAGCATCATCAAACATGCGTCTTAGTGAATTGCTTGCAGCGTCGCGACACCTTTGGCTCTGGCTTCTCGAAACCTCCCAGCCTGACCAGCTGGCGGGCTCGACATTTCTACGAGGCGATGGTCTTGAAAGGGCTGTCGAAATCTGGGACGCCGGCCACGAATTCAGCATACCTGCAGGAGTATCTTATCCGCTTCAGTTGGTCAACAGAATTGTCTCATCGTCGCCCGCCAATATCACCGAGACTATCCGTGGCAACTACAGCACCTGCCTCTGCTCCCCTTCAGTTCACATCTCTTTCTTACGACGGGTCGGCGCACAGCACGCAGTCCGCCGTGTTTCCGCTGACCTGCACATTGATGCCTCTGGAAGAGACCTGGTCCGGGATGCAAGATTCGGACGAGTGCTGAAACGTATTTTCATCCCGACTTGCAATACAAACATATCGTTTTGCGATGTGCAATATGAACACCAGCGTGGCCGTGTAGCGGTAGCACCATGCCGTCACCAGCTGAGGTCGGATACCCAGACGCGGCCAACGATGTTGTGCTCCCTGGCACCAGGCTGCAGGCAAGAGTTTCATGTCAGCCTCTCTGCAAAATTATTCTGTCAGGTTGTCAAGCTGCAAGCCACAGCCGTCTCAACTCAGCCCACTATTGCTCGTCGCCTCAGTAAACATCCCGGCTGGAAGCACGAACGGGAACACATACGCTCTCTACTTTTAATTGCTAGTTCCGTGCATTTTACACGAATATATTCGGCACTTTTACTATGCACCGAAGCCACGTGTTCCATGAAAAAGCAATGGAATGGCCTGCACCACTGCTTGTGTGCAGACGCTTCCATGGAAGGGTTCTTCACCTCAAGCGACGGCTCTAGGACTGGACAGCTTCCCCCTGAGTGAGCAAATTGAATGTCGGCACGCCTTTGAGAAGAAAACCTTCTACTTGCAGAAAAATCGCACTTGGTCCAACACATCTTTTTCGAAAGGCGGTTTCCGTTCACTCGTCCGGATTGAGAGATTTAAAGGCGGCTACAGCCGCCTGCAGGTTCTTCTCGCTGCCGAAGAGAGCTATGGACTGGCGCTGGAAAAGTTCCTGCGCCAAGCCGTAGATTGCCGTGCTTTTCTGGGCCACAAATGTGGCGAGGGCATGCTCGTCATCGGTCCAGTCCAGCTTGTTGTCGCTGTTGTCCAGCTCATGCGGGATGCTTCGGCCTACTGCAGCCACTTGCTCCGTTGTGAGGCCATAAAGCTTGCCAAGGCTTACCAATCCTTCATCCATCCTCTCTGTGATGCCAACCAGGTCGAATTGAGTGGCCAAGGTCAGCTTTGCCCTCTCGACCGACCCATTACCGAGCCAGGTTTCGTACTCACAGCACGAACGCAGGAGGATAGGGATTGAGGTTGACCCTCTGTCCTGCACAGAAGCTTGACTATCGAACTGCTCTTGTGTCCAGTTGCCAGAAACGAAATCCCGGCGGAACTCCAAGAACGACTTGAAGCCCTGACGTGATGCTATCGGGTTCTTGAAGTAGTAGTAGGATCGGATTTTCTCGGTGGGCTCTCGGAGGATCGTTGTGACCAAGATGCGCTTATTATGCAGGTCTGATGGCAACCAGGCACGAGCCCATTCCACGTTCCAAAGCAGATTCAAACGATCTGCACTCGGCCATAGGTTCTCCGGATCTGCCATGTCCGGAGCTACGGTGGTCATCTCCTGCCCTGCCACGGCCTGTCGAATTACGGCGAGGCTCTGGTGATAAGTGCAGCTGTGGGCAATGCCCGGCCTAGGACACGAGAGGTTCTGCCAGGGGACTTTACAACATTCCTCGAAGGCCTCTTCGTCGCTGGGGTAATACTCTCGGCAGTCCCAAGCTGGATACCCACAGTCCCTGCTGCACCTTTCCAGTTGACCGGTTATGCGGTCGACATAACTACGCCAAGTGCTGCCGGCCACCTTATGGAACTTCACGAACAGGGAATAAGACTGCATCTGTATCGCGGTGTCTTCGGCATCCCGTGCGTCAAGCGTCAGTGAGTGCTGCAGGAGGCTGAGCTCTCCCGTGCGCCCTGCGAGTCCAAGGTGGACCAAAGTAAAATGGAGGAGCGGTACGGTCATCATGGAGCCGGGAGGTGGGTCCCTGCGTCGTTTGAGATGAACACTTGCAGGTCATATGCAAGAGTCTCACGACTTGGTCAAACACGAAACAAGATCCCTAGGTCAGCGGGGGCTCCCAACTCACAACTAAAGACTCCAAACAAGCTGCAGCTACTACAGCTGCCGATCTGAGATGGAAACGGTGGTAACCAAATAGAAGGCGAGCACCTCGCGCAAGGCGTGCAAGTGTCCAATGCCCTCTTTGTTTGTCAGTAAGTTTCCAGAAGCAGCATTGAGGTTCTCCAGCACACTGCATGCTCGCACATTCGCTTGGTTTTCATACAGCCTGTTGGTGTTCCATGACTGCCCGCTCATGCCCAACTGAAGCGCTCACCGAGTCAGCTGTTTCCTGGGCGCCGCATGGACTGTCGACTGACCGAAAGTTTAGGTCTCACCCGGTCTTGCAAAGGCTGCTTTGCAGTCTCTCGCCGGAACTCACGGTGGGGCTCAAACGTCGTGTGAAAAACGGCACCGTTCATGAGGACAGTTCTGCCCTCTCTGCACATACCTGAGCTGGCTGACAAAAATGCAAGCTTGAGGCCTTTCGGCTCACATGAAGAGTCGAAGAGTCAGTTATCATAGGGGCGGGAAAGAGAGTGCAGGCTGAAGGGTAGGTACCGGGCTCAAAGCATCAGCAGCTACATTCCACCGAGCAACATGCAGGGCGTCGATTTGACTGAATGAGATTTGGCATTGGTCCTTGGCTTCAGCCACGCATGTACACAAGAGCCTCTTGATTCTTGCTAAGCAACTTTACGACGAACACGACAATGCCAATCACCGAGCCATTAGCCACGGAGCTCCGGCAAAGAGGCCGCCTGCTTTCTTTCTTTCCTGCTCCTTGGGTATCAGTCTTGAGGATGAAGACTTTGACGCAGAGGCTGTTCTCTGTCTTGCTTGCACGTTGCTCTTCCTGCTGACTTACCGTCCGCTCTCACTTCCACCTACCTCCGTATTCATCACGCAGATGAAAGAATGAGCTTAATGTGTGCCGACTCCTGAGCCGATTTCTGAAGCGTGAAGCCTCAGACTCCCAGCCCGAAGATATGAAATAAGCCTGCTATGCCTGAGGCAAGAGCTGCGTGTGCGAGTGCTCACGGATATTCCTCAGTTCAGCAAGTCTATTCTTGTCCACTACCAATTTCTATCCCATTTGACTTTTTCCATCCCGGCTGGTCCCCTCGCGGGATCGCTGAGCTAAGAAGCAAACGTAGAGAGACAGAAGCTCCAACGCACTGGCGAGGAGACGCCAACGGTGCAAACTGACGGTATTCCAGGGTATCCGACCATTCCGTGGATCACTCAGCTGTAACATCTGACAGCTTGAAACGGATTGTAATGGCTTCGTCGATGATTGTCCGTTCCAATCTGAACAGCACCATCATTTCTTAATTCAAGCTTCTGACACCATGGGACGGCCACACAACACCAGCATGACGATATCTGGGGTGTGGCTGCAAACTACAGCTACACCTCAGTTTGGATGATGTGCCATGTGCGGTGAGTGCCCGGCGAAGAACTCTCAGTTTTGGTCACGAAAATCTACTCTTTCATGCTCTGCATCCAATCCCAAGCCCGAACACCGAACCTGAATCTAAGCCCTTCGGGCAATCAACCGTTACAAGCTCAAAGCCCTATCCAGATTGAGACCCTGTTTTTGTTTAAATGTCTCCACCGCCATCCAAGTCGGGCAGCTTGAGCTTCAACTTGAGCTTCTCCTTAGCAGTCAGAGGTCTGCCCATCTCGGCGCTCTGGCGCTCCTCCGAAGCAGCAGAGGGGTGTGGGGGCTTTCGGCTCTTGAACGGTTCTTGGGGTGTGAGGATGTAGGATCCCGAAGTGCTGTGCGCGGCGTAGGTTTGCTAAATTCAATGGACAGTGGACCAGGGCTCGGGTTTGAGTTTGAGGTCTCAGGTTGCGAACAAACACCGTCAACCCACACCCTTCTGAGAAATCCTTTGCCGCTGAACACATATTCATCGCTCCTGGTCTCCACAACCATGGGGGACCCTAAGAAGTGTTGAACCAAGCTGGGCTCGCAATTCAGAGCCTCTGGACCCTAAGGAAAGCGAGCCCGCATATCTGGCCTGCAGTCTTCTTCCAGGCAAGATATTCCAGCTCTTCCAAAGCTACATGCATGCAAAAAGGCGCACAGGCCCTCGGTGTTTGTAGTCAAATCCTTTCCGAAGTACGCCACGGTAGACCCCTGGTCTACATTTACATATATGTAGGTGCTGTTGACCTGTTTCAAACCAAAACCCTCCGACTGTGCTTTGGCACGCCGCAGCACGCACCGTCAGCATGAGACTGGCAATTCCTGGATTTACCGGATAACCCGAGGCCCTGGCCCGACACTCAAACATCCCCCAAGCCCGCACTTACAAGTTTGCACTGCAGTCCTTCCGCTGCTGCTTTTTCAGCTCTTTCCTAACCACGGAGTTCAAGGACAAGCCAATCGCCGAAAGCACGTCTCGTGTTTTGCAGTATGGGGAAGCCGTGCTCAATTCAATAGCAAAGATGAGTGGAAACTGACTCAAAGCCGAGCCTTGCCCCCTCAACCCAACACGATGGACCCCAGAAAACGGAAACCATCTTCGCCAAGCTGCTTCTTCTCCTCGGCATGATGTCAGGAGATCCCAACAGGACTAACTCTCGGGGGACAATGGGCCTGTGGGATTTCGACTTCAGTGTGTGAAGGCCGTGAGAGAAGAGCGAACATTGAATTCTTACCATCGGAGTAGCGCGAATGCCAGAGCTGACTCTGCCGGACAAGGTGACCCTCTCACAAGAAGTCTTGAAGTGGTTGAAGTTAAAGTTGCGCTGGTGTTCACTGAAAATGCCTTGCGGCCCGGTGACGATAAGGCCTTTGAGGCCTTTCCGACGCTTGGCCTGAAAAGCTGATCGGAAGCTAAGGGACTTGCTTGGAACTGCTCTTGTCGACTGCACTAGAAGCTAGAGCTAGGAACTTGCAGAATGAGGGCCACCATAGTAGTAGTAGTAGTAGTAGTAGTAGTAGTAGTAGTAGTAGTAGTAGTAGTAGTAGTAGTAGTAGTAGTAGTAGTAGTAGTAGTAGTAGTAGTAACTAGTAGTAGTAGCAGTAGCAGTAGCAGTAGCAGTAGCAGTAGCAGTAGCAGTAGCAGTAGTAGTAGTAGTAGTAGTAGTAGTAGTAGTAGTAGTAGTAGTAGTAGTAGTAGTAGTAGTAGTAGTAGTAGTAGTAGTAGTAGTAGTAGTAGTAGTAGTAGTAGTAGTAGTAGTAGTAGTAGTCGTAGTAGTAGTAGGTAGTAGTAGTGGTGGTGGTGGTAGGTAGTGGCAGTGGCAGTGGCAGTGGTAGTGGTAGTGAGTGGGAGTGGTAGTAGTTGTAGTAGTAGTCGTAGTAGTAGTAGTAGCAGCAGCAGTAGTAGTAGCAGTAGTAGTAGTAGTAGAAGAAGTAGTAGTAGTAGTAGTAGTGTAGTAGCCGCCGTCGTCGTCAGAACCGTACCAACAGAAATGACAACAATGGTCTGGGTCCGGTGCCAAAACTTCTCTTAAGCCACGGGGCAGGTGCTTCTTCCTCTTCTTCTTCTTCTTCGGCCTCTTCCTGCTCAGCTCTCTCAAGCATGGCAGCAATCTTGTCCATGTTTCGCCTGGGATTGGGAGCTCGTGATCTTTGTGCGATTAGTTTTCGGCCTTGTGCGGGTCACTGCTATCTTGCCCAAAATGCTTGGACTGCTGCATGCCCGGACAATCACCGCTTCGTTGGGAGATTATTTGCTGCCTTTCGTTTGTGACAACCCTACTCAACTCTGTTCATCACTGCCAGGCATATCCCTTCAGGCAAGAAGCTGGGCAGGCACGAACTCCGCTGGGCTGTCCTCACTTTCTTCTGAAAGTGGCTGCCTGGGCTTCTTGAGCCTTTTCTTGGTCTTCTTCCTGAGCTTCTTGACTGGGTGGCTGGGCCGGAAGAAACACACATGGCAAGTACTCACCAAGACTCACTGTCATGGTCATGATGGCGCAGGTGATGACGATGGCGGTGATGACGCTAGCGGAGTGGAGGTGTTGTTGTTGTTGTTGCTGCTGTTGTTGCCTATGCGACTGAACGTGATATTTGCTCTAGATGCGGCGGTCACGGGCAACCATGACGCTTCATTCTGCGAGTTGTTGAATTTCTCTGCTTTTGGTCCGCAAATTGACATACAGTACCGGGTCCTCTGCAAATCAGTGTCTGCTTTGAAACCATCAGCTGCCAATGTGTGCAGCGCAACACACTTGAAGTACGAGTACTATTCTCAAGGCCAGGGTCGGCCCAGTTGTGGCAGGGCCGTCAGTTCGCACAGGGTCCGCTGGAACCTCCGGCGTCTGTGCTTGTCGCGCCTTCCCCTTTCTCCTGGCCGACAGTTCTTAGCTAGTCAAGACTTGGGGTTTACGATGGGTGCGATCAGGATGAGTGTTGTCTCCTGTCCCCTATACTAGCCCTATACTCCAGACAGGCTACAACTGCTACCTTCTCGTGCAGCACGCTCCTAGCTGTCTTTGGCTGCTTCTCTGCAGCAGCTGCTTCTGAATCCTGCTTGCCACGCCGGGCAAGCTTTTTCCTTTGCTGGAAGCAGGTCCGAGGTCCAGAAACATCTGCTCGGGCAAGTACTAAGTACTGATCCCCCCACTCAAGTCTGCCCAAGCACTTCTTCATCGGAGATGGCACCATGCTCCACTCAGCGCGAGTGGGCTTCGAGGCACATCTATGCGAAACGACGAAGGAATGGCTGAATAGCAGCTGGCTGGACAATGTCTTGCTGCAGCTGCGTGGTTCGTCATGGTTCGCCCTCTTCTGTCTGCATCTCGCTTGATGGACGAATATGGCGGGTCGATGCGGGACTCCCAAGCAATCTGCAGGCTTCTTCCAGGACATGTCATTGATGCAAGATCGTTCGAGGAGGCCGTGACGCGTTGTAAAGCCTAGCTCCATGCAACTCGTGTCGAATCCAACCCACAAACCTCCATCGATACACAGATTGCCACAGCAACTTCACTGGTGCATGATCGAAAGGTCAAGCAAAATCGCAGATTAACGCTACTGCATGTTGTAGTATTATCGAACTTGACAAATTCTCATCCCTAGGGCTTCTGATTGCTTCGCCTTACCTGGTTACTTGCTTGCACAAGCAGCAAGCCGGTGGCGCACCCGACACGGCAACTGCTCGCTCACCACTCGATCTGCCTCCTGCGCTTCCGGGGAGTTTGAAGCGTCCTACAGTCATGCATGTGCAAAAAAATACACAATAAACCAACAAACAAACAAGCAGTCTGACAAACACATGCATGCGTACATACATACACACGCATACATAGCGTACATCAACAGACACGCCGACTTGCACCTAAGCTACTAGAATATGAGACAATATCTCTAGACCAGTATTTCAAACACTTCGATGGCTCCGGTCTTGAGGAACTTCTGGAGTCTGAGAATTGGACATATGATTACGTCTGAAACGCACTTTGCTGCTCCAATGCCGGCAATCCCTTCCAGATCTTAGCGCAAGATGTCTCACTCAGAGCCAGGCGGACGAGTAGGAAGGACTCGAAAACCTTGGCTAAGTTAGTCTGTGGGGAAAATCACGAAGCTTTAAGGCATGAGTAGATACAGACTCTCAACACAAATCTTTACTGTGAGAGGAGCTTGAGTAGATACTCACACTGCTAACTGCCCCACGGCTTGACTTAGTGCCATGCTCGACATCGAGCTTGCGGCGGAAGCCGTGCCGCCTAGAGAGTGTCACTCGGCAGTTCACGATCTCCAAACTCCCGGTCTGGGGTCGCCACATGCGAGGTAACTAGCCATGCCGTAGGCAACAAGCACGCGAAGGCTCCGTTATGTTTCTATAGGTTTCACCGAAGCTCTGACAAATGCCTCGGGAAAGCTGTGGATAATCAGGTATCCCCAATCCCCGACCTCATCGACGTTCGCCTCCGCTCCCATTGCTTCCGTGCGACGATGGGATGGCAGCTGCCCGCAAGGCTGCTGCAAATAACTTTTTTTTACCGTGATGCTTGCCCGAGTCTTCACCACAATCATATTATTCACAAGCAGCGGTTGTCAAAGAACCAACCAGCCTCCACCGCAGGATCTTCCTCCACGGCATGCAGAATCCAGCCAAGAGCCTTTGCCAAGCGCTGAAGACACATGCTCTTGTAAAATCGTCTCCCTCGTATATCTCATAATGGAAACTTTCCATGTCTGCGACGTTTCTACCAGAAAAACTGCGTACCTGCAGAAAGCATTTCAGGGCGAGTTGCCTTGCTTTCAAATTCTAATCTGTCCGAAGGATTTGGGTGTAATTATGTTCGGTTGCTACACGGGTTTGCGGTTTTGGGCCTATAGGGCATGTAAGAGTTCTGACCAAAATCGAATGAGACTCTGCCTGAAGCTGCATGATGCCAAGATATGCCAAGGCACACATTGAAGAAACCACCGCGCGATCTGCGGTGGCACAGCAATTCGTTGAAGGGTGCTGCTCTGCTTGAGAGGTGAAGTTACTAAGCATGAACCGTAATTATGCGTATATTGTAGTGGCAAAGGATAGAGTAACAACAGCAAGCAGAAAAGCCGTAAGAGTGACAGAAGTAAATCTCAGTCTCCTTCCCAAGAGATCCTGAGAACCATTTCGATGATGCTTCTGCGGTTCACAGCGGAGCCTGAAACCTTCAAAGCGTCTTGTCCCGGTATACCTGACCCTCCCTAATCTCAAGTTTGGCCCCCCCCCCCCACCCGCAGCCTCCTTGGTGACCACCTCGCCTCGCACGCAAAACAAGCTACATGCACTTCCTTTCTCCATTCCATGATCATGGCAGCTCAGATTGAATTGACATCGTGGTTGTGCGCCCCATTTGGGTCACAGACAACATGCACTACTAGCTAGTCACACACCGGACTTGTTCGTCGAAGCAGCATAGTAACGAAGCCTTCAAACTTGTTGTGTCACCTTGTCCCTGAAATTCCCGGACCTCATCACGACCAGATCAAATTCTCATCGACACGCCGACTTCGCTGAGTTCCAGTGAAACGCCGGAAGCCGACCCCAGAACCGAAAACCAGGAGATGCCACACGTTTTAAGGCAATGGTACTAAAGAAGAAAGCGATGGTACTAATGACGATGTGGGAGATTCTGTTCGCAATCAAGAAGCAGGCAACGGCATTGATACTTAAAACTGATGCTGGTTACAGCAAGGCTACGTAGCAAGTTCACACTGTTGCGACAAGACAAAACCGCCCACGCATACTATTAGCATACTGCTACTGATCACCATGGCAGTGCCGATGACATGGTCTTGCGCTGAGGTGGTCTGCTCTAATGAGCACGAGACCACAAAGGCGCCTTCGTACATGAGCGGGCATTTCGGGCTCGTTGGCAGGAAGCACCTGGCTCCAGCTTCCTGAGCTTAGGATCTCCGGTCTCTAAATGGGTTTCAAGTTTGGGAGTTCCAGAAGCTAATGGACCCCAACTGCTCCGATGATATGGGCCCCTAAGAAAAGCAGCCCTCCCTTTTCAAAAAGATCCATCTTGAGTCCAAGGTCGACAAAACCCAGTCGACATCTCAGTTCACTGAGTTCACGGGCGCGGGTTTTACGGAGGCTCAGACAAGGCGCCGCAACAGTACAAGTGATATATATATATATATGCTTCCGAGGTATCGTCAGTTACTATCATTATCATTTACTTGTTGCAAGGGCAATTGCCGGGGGACTTATGGGCTGCCGCTGTGCAACGCCGGCCGCAGAGGTCAGTATGCGCGTAGCGACATGGTGTTGAACGTTTGGCTTCCACCTAGGAACACGGGCGTAGCATGGTGTGGCTACCAGGAAGTGAAAGGTTCAAGCTCACTCGGAACTGGGATTCGGATGATGCCAGACACTTGATCTGCAAGGTGAGGAGTGGGGACTAGTTTACTTCGCAACTTTGCAGCGCGACTGCTCAACATTCTGGCAGAGATACTAGAGGCTGTTCTAAGGTGCTCGGCCTCGCTGCGTGCAGCCCCAGGTCGCCGTCCATCCTCAAATGAGAAATAGACCCACGCAAGCGCCTACCCGAGGTTCGCAAAAGAACGTTGGGCCTTTCCGCACCGTAAATGAAGCCAGAGTTTTGTAGCCACTCCGACACTCGGCAACCGATGCAGTCGCGGACTGCCACAAGTAGCAAGCTCCAAATCAGCCACATTGTTAAGCCTCAAACGATGAGCCGCTTCATGTCTTGCATAGGCTTGCATGGCCGTCTTGGCATCCTCAAGCCAGTCGCATGTCACTCACAGCTTGTCTCGGATGTCCGGTAACAACAGCAAAGAACGAATGCCGGTAACTATCAGCTACATGATCACATTACTGGTACATCATACGCACCCTCACGTATCTATAATACACTTCCTTACCTCCACATACATGTAAACATTAACATGCAAACGGCACCGTCGACTATCAATCAATATCGAACTAGAAAAAGTCTTGGTATAATTCGTAGTAGTGCACCAGCCATATGGACAAATGATCTCAACAAACTTGCGAGGATTTCACGCTTACGTCTGATCCTCTTAAGCTCCTCACATCAGCCCGATCAATGCTATGCCACATCCATGTGCTTCCTAGCTACTCGCTTGTCGGAGCAAAAGCGGCCTTCGGAGGAGTTGAAGCTAGCTGCGTGTGCCTAGAATGCTGGCGCTGCTCCTCTCTGCGCTTAGTTTAGCTATCCTTGTATTGGCCGTACTGCCACGCTGTAAAGGGCAGAGAGGAACAAGTCTTGATGACCGTGGCTCATCTTTTTGCCGTGCCATGTGCCCAGCAGAGGTAGGTTGCGAAACCGGGTGGCGTATTTCGCCGTCCGGCCGCCGTTGGTACTGCGATCTGTGCAGGAGCTGAAGTGGGAAATACAGGTCCACGAGGGCGCCAACAGAGTACCTACGGTAAAGGCCATCAACATGCATCGCGGATAGTGCTGGTTGGGAGGCTGTATGGAGGCGGTCGTAGATTGGGTCCAGCAAAGCACAGCTCCCATGCCAAAAGGCAGTTTGCGCCACTTCCATGTAGCATGCCATGCGAGGGCCGAGCAAAGGATTTCCTAAATTGCGATGACCTCGTCTCCCTTGACACCCGCAACTCGTCATAGACAGCTTCCACAATGCATGCCGAAGCCTTTTGTCGATCTTCTGGCCCTCGTAGTACAGTGCACAGTCTACCAGGCTGTGAGCGCACGATCTACGGCAAGGATGCCACAAGGGCACCTTGGGAGAATTCCGTCAGCTCTGGAGCTTTCCTGAGCGCACGGGCACTGTCACCGTGCTTGCGCCGATTCTGTCAGGCATGATCAGAGGGAGGCACGCTGTGGACGGGTAAACCCAGCACCAGATCGTGAGCTACGAAGACTTTGAAGAAAGCGCTTCGAGTAACCGACACGGTGTACAGGAAGCTGGACAAGCAAAGGGCCGGGTTCGAAGAAAATGGAGTACATTAGTAGAAACAGTGGCAGCTAAAGCCGGCAGCAGTGCACGGTCAAAGAAGTCCGAAAGGCCGAGGCATATATTCTTTTGGCTTCATGGGATCGGTTCAGCATCTGGCAGCTGGGCTCCCCAACGCAGGTTTCGTTCCTTCACGGCTAGAACCTTCCAAAAGCATCTCTGGTGAAGGAACCAGGTGAAGCTGCCCTGGACTCCAAACCATCGCCCGGCCTTGCTTTCACCGCCGAACTGAATCTGGACACGATACCTCAGACACCAAGCTGCTCTTGACCTTATACACAATGCCTGATTCCTGGTAAGGCTCGGCTCACCCTGCTGGCTCAGACGGTGCCCAGCCCCTGCAACTCAGCAGCCCACTTCGTTGCTTCACCATCTGGACCAGGCCTTGGGCACTGCTGCTCGTCCCTCACTAAACTACAATTCGCATCCGCCTGTGGCACAGAACTTGAGGTGGAGTCGGAGAAAGGGCAGGACTTGGACTAGGATCGGTGGTGCTAACGTCGGCTTCACGAGTCGGATCCCAGGAATGGTTAAACCTCAGAGAACCAAAAGACTAGGGAGCGTCTCTCATGCTTCTGATCACTTCTAGTTACCCAACTATCTATAGTACAAGCTACGAGTACGAACTAATGAAGTCATAACATCCCAGGTCAGACAATATACTGTGTGCTAAATCTGCCGAAGCGTGCCAGACTGAACTCAGGAAAAAACTGAGATTACAACATTTCCAAACAAACGCAGATCTCGCCCCTCGAAATCTATATGAAGCACGGCGGCTAGTGGCTAGTGCTTTCGGCCCTGGACCAATCCCTAATCAAAGGACCCGTCAACTTAGTAAGTAGGTTGCCTGGGGCTGATTACTGCGCGAAACTCCCAAGTGTTGGCGAGGTGAAACCGCAAAACGCCGGGGCCATGCCTCAGAGGGTTATGCGAAGCTGTCTTGCAGTTGAGTGCTGTCGCCCGCATGTCCCCAAGCCACCACAGAGCCATCGCCAAGGATTGCGGCGAAGGCTCGAGAAGAAGCTTGGATCTGCTGCACATCTCGCAGCTGATCCTGCACCCGACTGCTGTCCCCTCCATAGTCTGCAGTACCCCAGGTGACGACAGATCCATCTCCAAGGATTGCGGCAAATGCCCGAGAAGAAGCTTGGATCAGCCGCACAGTCTTCAGCTGCTCTTGTACCACTCTGCTGTCACCGCCAAAATCAGCATTACCCCAGGTGACTACAGATCCATCGCCGCGGATTGCAGCAAATGCACCTAGAGAAGCTTGGATCTGCTTGACGTCTCGCAGCTGATCCTGTACCCAACTGCAGTCGCCGCCAAAGTCAGCATGACCCCAAGCCACCACACAGCCATCACCAAGGATTGCAGCAAATGCCCGAGAAGAAGCTTGGATCTGCCGCACATCTTGCAACTGCTCCTGTACCCAGCTGCTGTCGCCGCCACAGTCGTCAGTACCCCACGTGATCACAGATCCATCACCCAGGATGCCAGCGAATGCATATTCAGAAGCTCGGATCTGCTGCACATCCTGCAGCTGATCCTGTACCCAGCTGCAGTCCCCACCATAGTCAGCATTACCCCAGGTGATCATAGATCCATCACCAAGGATTGCAGCAAACGCCCGAGAGGAAGCTTGGATTTGCTGCACATCTTCCAGCAGCTCATGCCGTAGCCAACTGCTGTCGCCGCCGTAGTGATGACTACCCCAGGTGACTACAGATCCATCGGCCCGGATTGCAGCAAATGCACCAACAGAAGCTTGAATCTGCTGCACATTCGTCAGTTGCGCCTGTACCGCACTGCTGTCACCACCAAAGTCAGCATGACCCCAGCTGACAACGGATCCATCGGCCAGGATCGCCGCAAATGCACGACCAGAAGCCTGGATCTGCTGCACATTCTTCAGCAGGCCCTGTACCGCACTGCAGTCGCCACCAAAATCGGGAGCACCCCAGGCGACGACAGACCTATCACCGAGTAGAGCGGCAAAGGCGAGACCAGGAAACATACCGCCTTGCCTAGTGGCTTTAAATTGGACTTGGCTTACATGTAGGGTGAGCACGTCTCCACTCTTCAAATTCGCTTCGGTGATAGTTTTCGCTCCGTCGAGGATCTCTCCAGAAGAATTCAGCAGCCTCCCTCTACCCGCGACCAGAGCACTCTGGGCACGTTGCCTCAATGACTCAACAAGTGCATCCGCCTCCACTTCCACCGATGCCCTCTTGCCACTCAGAAGATGCACATCCACAGATATCGACATGGCATAGTATGGATAGCCGCAATGAAATAATAGTGGCAATAATGAGAGTAAGTACTAGTAGTACATAACACTAAACATAAGACTCGTAAGAGGATAAAACGACAACAGTAAAAGTGTCAATATTCATCACAGCAAATACCAGTAACACGAATAAGAATGACAAGGGAGAACGATACTAAGATAAGAAACATAATACGGTCTTTCCCCGATCTGTCGCTACAGGCACGAGCCAAGGCTCCAGTTACCTGGAACGTCTATATTCCTACACAACTCTACTAGTTCGTGGTTGACTTCCGCTGGTGCACGTCAGCGATGGATGCGACGCGAATTCAGGAGCACCGCAGGCCGTGGGCGACGTGTCAGCGTTCTCACGTTCTCACGAGGTTTACCGTGGGGAAGTAAGTGCATGACACTCTGCCCACGATGCGTCCACGGAGGTTGTTGAACTCCTGCGAGGCTTGTGTCGAGGCCCTCCCTGTGTTGCAAGACTGTAGCTACCTACAGCAACAGCCACGGAAAAAGCAACAGCAGCAGCAACAACAACAAGCACACGCTTCAACTGCGACTGCAACTACAACAGCAACGGCAACGCCAACAGCAGCTACAGCAACGGAAAGGGCAAAAGCAAAACAACACCACCAACAACAACAACAACAACAGCTGCTGCTGCTGCTGCTGCTACTACTACTACTACTACTACTACTACAACACCAACATCAACAATAACAACACAACAAAATAGCAACAATAATAACAACACTGACACGAACGATAACAGTGACAAGAATTACTTCTACTAGTGCAACAACAACCCTTGCTACTCGATGACAGCAACTACAGCTACGGCGTCTACTTCTACTACGACAACGTCGACGACGACGAACATGTTTGCCAAACTGTGGCATGATGTCGGCAACAACGGAATGCAACTCCCGTCGGTCCGTACGATCTGCAAGCCCTTGAACCTTTGCACGGCGGCTTGTGGCTTTTCGGGCTGGGGCTGTGTTGCATGTCTGCTGGGCAGTTTACACTCCCACTCGGACTCGACAGCACCTCTGCTAGGCAACTGAGGGTTTGGGGCTTTACCGGGCTCCTTCAACCTGTTTTTCAGCTGAGGTTTGAAACTCTCGTCGCCGCTTGCTGCCGACTTCTGACCCCAACACCCTCAAATTTCTGAAGATTTCGCAGCAATGGGTGTGGGTCTTCGGGCAGCCTTAAGTTCGATGTTGCTTATAAGTATTCGTACTCTTGGTGGTGTGATGCCGTGCATACTGCTACCGTTTTTGCTTTATCACCTGTACCTTTTCGGCTTCTCTGCGTGAGCTGCGGCTAGCGTTTCTGCCATGACTGCCTGCTTAGTCTCTTGTGAGATTGCTTCAGATTTGTCGTAGATCATGAGCATGTGTAGACCGTACTGACTGTACTGGCACCAAAGTCTCAAACTCTGACCGCCAAACCTTCAACTCAAAAGGACTGCTTCTGTAGACTTTGCATAAAGCAGCGTCCAACAGACAAAAGTGACCCCTCGAACACTGACTCGGCTTAACAAACCGCAACGGATCTGCTCGTAAGGCTGCATGAGCCGAGGAGACGGCTTGCACGGCATCCCCATCTGCAAGACCTGCATGCTTGGAGTGGTTGGCCGTAGTCATCGTCGCTATCTTCGTCGAAGGAGCAAACGCAGTATCGGACTCTCCAGGCGAGGAGTCTTCCATAAGTCTGCTGTGGTGAGAATCTCGGGTTTACGGTAGGGTGGGGATTTTGGTCTTGCGTGAAGGCTCACGGCGTTTAGGGTCATCGCGAAGCCTTTTTCAGGCAAAAGTGCGCATGACACTCACCTGGCCAACCTCGGGAAACCATGAGCCCTACATGGAGCGTGTCGGAAATGTTTTTCAGGCGGAACCTTCATGATTTAATTACCTCGCACAAGTCATATCAAAAATGACAAACGGCCCCATCTGGAGTGTAGAACAACCCAATGCCCTGACTCGACCTAGTAAACCTTAAGGCCAAGCTACACGCGGAGACTGAGACTTCAACCCTGAATGCACGGCGACAAAACCGTGACCCCCACTCGCTTTGATCTATCCAGGCTTGGGAGGGTTGGTCTTGTCCGCAATATGCGGTTATACAGAAGCCCTCGTTTATATAGCCATCGCGACATCTGAACAGAGTTTGGGTGATTGCCCTGGGAGCAACTCCCAGAAAGCACCTCGAGCCGAGCTGGGCGCCTTACAGCGGAATGCGCGCCAGTCGAATGCTTGATCCGCTTTCAAGTCTCGAAGATGCAGCTCGTGACAGTGCAGGCTTTTCGGCTCCAAGACTGCTTCCACGCATGAAGGTGCGTGTGCGGATTAGCAAGTTTAGCATTCGGGAAATCCTTAACCTGCAGCCCCAGACCAGATCTTATACCTGACACCTGCAAGCAGCGCTCAGGCGAAGGCATTTCCGGCAGAGTTTGAACTCTGTGAGGGGCCCATCTGCAGCGAAGTGCAGTTTCTGTCCATGGTGCGCCAGCTACCCCAAGCTGCTGTGAAGGATCTGTCCAGATTTGGGCGCTGGGTCTCGCACGAGCTGCTGTAGAAGCGGCCACCTTTGAATGCGAACACATGTGCAGGACCCGAATCGGCCGAAGCCCTGTAAAGTCGCCTAGGTGCCCCCAAAACCCCAGCATCACCAGAAGCCAGAAGTCCCACGAACAAGCATTGAAACTCGCGGCCTTTCGATGCATGAAGCTACCAAAAGCTCTCATGAAGCAACCAGTACTTACAAGGCCATTTGCACACCGCACTGATCCAGAGATCCCAAGATCCGTGCATCAAACAACCTTCCACGACAAAAGCTTGCAATCAGGCCCTAAACCCCGTCCCTTCGGATCCACCAGGCTTTTCTAGAAAAACCTAGTGTTTTCTCGAAAAATAGGCCCCGTCAATTCGGATCGGACCCCGGCCCGAAGACGAGGCTGAAGAGAAGGAGCCTGGGCTCGGCAACGGCCTGGCATCGAAAGGAAAAAGCAAACACACACACACACAGCCACAGAGTCGATACATATAAAATATGTATATATATATATGTGTACATGCACACATATACACATAAAACCACATAAACATATCTGTTTTTTGAGATTTGTTTATGTATTGGTGTTGTTATATATTCAAAGGAGAAGCAGAAGGGAGGGGAGCGGGGGAGCTAAACTTCAGTTTTTCCCTTCATCGGCTATGCTCTGTTTATCAAAGGGCTAATAATAAGGTTTATGCAAAGGGCCAGGGAGGAGGAAGCGCTTGTAGGATTCGGGCCACGGGGAGGTCCCAAGCCTGGGATCTTTCGTCACCCGCCTAGCTGGCTGAGTCGCGCTGCAAGCCGGGTTGAGGACCCAGGGTCGAGATGACTTGGGATCTGCAGTGTGTCTGCTTGCAGATGCGGGCAGCTCAATATCAAGGCTTTAGTAGTCTTACTGCCAACACTGAAACTGCGCTTGAGACGGCAACGAACAGCTCTGACCTGGAACTCATCCCGGCCGTGGCCCTGGGACGACCCGAAGCCGAAACCCTCCGACCAGCCGGCTCTGCCTCGAAAAGTCCTGAGTGAAGTGCAAAGTCGGCAAGTACAAGGCACGGCTAGTTGCAGAACCCGTCAATCTTCGCACTCCCGCGTAGCCACACTTAGAAGACTTAGCCGTCCTGGCGAGATGCAACCTGCGCTTTGAACAACGCAAACTAGCCCCTCCTGGCGACCGCCTCAGAGAGATGGGAGCCTGAGCCCTTTCACCAATCACTACTGTAAACAAACACGCAATCCATCATGGTGAGTTGTGACCCATGGTGAATGCAGGTTTGGACTTGCAATGTGGGGCTGGGGAGTGCAGGGTTGAGAAAAGGTCTTGCGGGGAGCGCTTCAGCAGCCAAGGGGCTGCGGAGGATCTCGCTGCAGACTTCCCAGGCTCGTTCTGGCGGAGATGCCCAAACTTACTCCAACTTACGGATCCCAGTCTCGGGTACACTTGAGGACCCTGTGTCGAAGTCTGGTTGATATCGGAGTGCACCCGTGCGGAGTCTGCCATGCCATTGAACAAGCCGACATGTGGCAGGATGCTTCCTGGGTACAAGGAAGCTTGACTGTTTGTTCTAAAGGGAGCGAAACAATCATAGGACTACAAGAAGGTACAAGAAGCCAAAGATCCTAGAGCTGTTCCCTTGCAGCACTGCCAATATCGATCCACGACGAGTCGAACAGACTTCACCGACGCGGCCCACATTGCAGAAAAAACGCCGCAGCTACTATGACCATGCAACAGCAGCCATAAATCTGAAGTAAGAGTCATTGAACAAAAGACTGCTGCATCAATGGGAGTTCGAGCACCCTGGGAAAATACCCTTTGCCATGGAGGATATGCTGGCAAACAGGCCACAGCACACAAATGAAGCACGTCGCAGCACGTAACTTCACTTCTCCAACCGTGAACCCCCAAACCCTCAATGCAGTGTCCGGAGCTGTGCCAAGCACCCAAGCTCCGAAACGCCTAGTTACCCCTAGCCACACCCATCACTATCAAGACCGAAAGCCCGCCCAAAAGAAGACCAACTCAGCGCCCCGGACTTGGCCTATGAATCCTTTTGGCCCGGTCCGCTCCTCCCGGCTTACGGCTTCGGAGACTAAGTTTTGCTTTACCAAGGGCCTATAGGGGCCTGGATAGTTCGAATCGCGTTGTGGGTCGATTGTACTAGAATGAGGGACCCCCAAAATAGTTGTATTGAACATTCTTGGTGACTTGAGGTGCGTGGCTGTATGTTGAAGCGGGGTTCACTCAAGTGTACCACATCCTACTAGGTACTCCAGGGTGGAACGGAATAGGCGTCGTGAACTCCACTGACAGCAGAAACGGATGGCCTTACTAACTCTCGCTGAGTAACAGCAGCATATGCTTGTGTTCAAGGTACGCCCGAGAGATCCGGATCCCGGATCCGAATCTACTACTCTTACTACTACTACTACTACTCTTACTACTACTACTACTACTACTACTACTACTACTACTACTACTACTACTACTACTACCACTAACTACTACTACTATTACTACTATTACTACTCTTACTACTACTACTACTACCTGTCCTCTTCGGGATCCGGCAAGGCCGAGATGAAGCCTCGAAGCCTCGGCGCTCACGGCTTTGCAGCCAAGCCCAGGCCCTGGCCCTGATATGTCTTGTTGTAGTAAATTAGGCTATATGATAGTAGTATATCATATGATGGTATATCATATGATAGTATATCATCTGATAGTAAATTATACGATGGTCTATTTTTGATCGTATGTTATAGAATATTACTGAAGAGTCTGAGCATGGGCTGCAAGTGAACTCAGGTGGGAACACGGTGTGGGAGCCGCCTCCGTCCTTGCACGCTCTGACTGAGCAAGCAAGGCTCCATCCCTCCGGCGCCGAAGACTAGCAGCAATTGACTAACATTGCAAGAAGACGAACTGATCGCCAAACGTTGATTTTGCTACTACATTGCGGCAATAAGCGATCATTCATGCTTCAGTGGTTCCTTAACAAAGCCTAAAGCCTGCATTCGGATGCAAATGAGCCCCCGGAACAGTCCTCGCCAAGATGGCTTGGGTCGGAGATGGCCTTCCAAAGGAGATGGTACGGAAATGTTGCCAAAACTTCCGGCATTCGGCATGAAAAGCTCTACGGCTCAAGACTCTCAACGGCCTGAACCTGCTGAAGCCATTTCGTGAGGTCTCGCTGAGCCTGCAAGGCGCCAGTGACGAAGACTAGATCTGTTCACACACACACACACACACCCGGCCCAAGCAGCGGAGCCGGGTGTTGAAGTTTCCGACCCTACGATTACGAAGCACTTCGTAACTACAACACACATCTTGACATCAGTGGAACACTGGCACATGAGGTCTAAGGCCGATGCCAACTCTCGTCCCAGAACTTCTTTCGGGTAGAGAATCGCCTCTCTTGCCAGGTCTGAAGAGGTGGTCCCATCGATGTGGAAAAGTGCACGCAACATTTATTGACGTCTATGATTCTATGGTCTGGTCATGCCGTGGATATACCTACCAGCTCGTCCGCTTTCACATCTGCTCGAATGCACTCAGGGAAGGCTGTCTCAATTCTTCTGCGGCACGTGAGATGGCTTCTTCCTATGAATGCAAACACTGCACAAACAAGCCCGAAAAGCAGTGGCACTAAACACGGCAGAATCATCATGAGTAGCATCGGCATGATTCGGCCTGTTTCGCTGCGCCAGCGTAGGCTATAACCTTAGCTAACATCGGTGGGAGGTTGAGCTCAGGCTCATATGACCGAAATGACAGACACCTGCACGAATTTGCTGAAAGTCCTCACAAAATTACACAAGCGAGAATACCCAACGAGGAATTTCAATACGGTTCCGACGCATACAGCTAGGCAGATCGGAAGTGCTCCACACTTACTAGAAGATGTTGCCGACTGGTTTTAAACGACCATTTTCACAGCACTCTCGCCGTCTCTCTCGCTCGTCGAGCCATTAATACTTGCCAGGGCTGGCGCAGAGACGCCCTTGCCCGGTGCCTTTTGGCTAGGCAATAGCTGCGGGTCCAACCTCAAAACCACGGTGTTGGCTACAACCAAGGTTCTGTGGATTCAAAAACCCAGTTTTAGACGAGGCGAATGATGAAAAGAAGATGCCGATGCTACGTGGTGATGCTACCGAAGAGGTTGGTTTCGCAGCTGACGTTGCAAGCGACGTGTGACATGGAGAGATCACGCGCACCAGCCCAGTGCTCCAGCATTCTTCCTATATCACAGGCAGATCGAAGCGCAAAGAGAATCATTAGGTCGAGAACTGAAAAGTTCCCGGGTAAGCTTAAATGCCGAGCACTATGACCATCTTCAACAGCAGCTATCATGGGCCATAGCCACGTTGAGACAAGTAGGTATCATGACAATGACCTACAATCAGTTTTGCGATCTGGATCGATCTATATTGGGCTCTTGTAACTCTTTCAATGCCACCAAGCACTAGGCCCACGGAAGGGCGAGTCAGGCGATCCGTCGTGGCGGCCCCAGAAACACCTCAGTGCTCAAGCTCTGCCTTCCGGGTCGGGAAATGTAGCAAGATCGTGATCGGGTCATTCGTGTCCTAAGTTGGGGCTAGCTACTTAGCAAGCCCTCGTTCGAGAACGATGCCCGCATTTTCGTCATCAATAGCCCAGATGCGCATAGCTTATGTTTTGTCCCGAGGCTTCTCCACAAGCTCATCCCGAACTCGAGGTTCTCTCTCATCTAACCGACCAGAAAATAACACCAAAGTCCTGAAATCTTTGGGACCTTCGCCTTGTGAGTCAGGCCGTGAAAAAAATTCTTGAGGTCAAAGCGGATCTCAAAAAAACAGCTTTGCGCATGGGCAGATGTTTTACGAAGCCGGCACGTGCCGCACACTGGGACCTCCATCCAGAACGAGATTCTAGAAGAACCGCCTGTCTAATTCGAACATGGAGAAAAACTTTTGCAGCGAGCGATATTACAAGCCAAGCCGTCTTGTTTGGCAAAATCAGTCAGACAAGCCTGTGTAAGGGTTCGGCTCGAGAGAATGCGACGCATGCTCCTTGACCTGAGCAGTGGGGGATCGGACTTACTCGAAGATGGGGCCGCGATTCGAAGTCTGATGTATCATGACCGGAAATCTCCAGCAAAATCTCCAGAGATTCAAGGCAATTTACAGCCCGAGGGCTCCGTAGGTTGCTGTAGCTCAGGTAAGGCAGAAGCCATCATCCGGCGTCGTCAAAGCTGCTCTGGTTCCCGCGACCACCCTGCACCCTGTCTCCGTCGGAACTGAGGCCTATACGTTTCGGCATGCCTGACCAAGCTAGCACCGGTACTTCGAGCTTCGACCCTCGTGCAACTGTAACTGTATGTTCATGCTTCATGATATCAAGGCATAATATGCAAACGAAATATGATGAGAGCAGAACAAGAATCGCAATTAGTCAGGCCGGCAGGTTCTGCTACGTTTACTCACTCCTCCCTGTTCTCTGCCCACTACGTCGACGACCACCAAGCCAGTAAGCCACAAAGCAAACCTACAGTGCTCATCACACCAAGCAAGGTGCTGCCACAACCGGCTAAACGTCTAGATGATGTTGTTGCTACAAGGACGAAGCACTGCTCTCTAGAACTCCTGAAAATGCGTAGGAGAGGCAGCGGCATGTTGCAGCTGCAAATTTAACAGTTCCGACATGGTTCCGATGCCCACTCAAACAGCATCTCATCAAGACCATCAAAAATGAGAATCTGTCTCCCGAGCTGCTGGGCCTCCATCTTTCTGGCTCAAGGGTTCCGCTGGGTTTAGGAGTTCACGGGCCGAATTCTACATGCTAATTAGTTACGGTTTTAGAGGCGTGGCTCAGAATCCTTAGAAGCGTTTCCCGCAGCCTCACGGAAGTTGCGCAAAGCTCTTCTCGCCTTCTCCTCCTGCACGTGTGAAGGGTGGCGTTTGAGCTTGTTAGAGACACTGCGGGCGCCTTTCGAGAGAGCTCAGGCGTGAGGCCTACACTTCAAAGGATCAATCCTCTTCCATCCTAGTGACATTGCCCTTTGATGTACATGCTTTCTTCTTTTGTCCGGGATGTCGTTTATGTGCATACATACATACATACCTACATACGTAATTACATACATGCATGAAGGCATCCATACCTCGGATAAATACCACATCAATGCCAGTGTGTCCAATTCGGCACACACAGATCCGACTGGCCTTACCCAGCATGTCCGGCGTCACCAGGAAGAGTGCGACCCAGGCCTCGAAATCGCAGACTCCGGGCTTCAAAGGCAGGCCAGAGGTCTCAGCAGGGTAGTCAGACTCAATTAAGGCTCTGGTTCAACAGATCCAAGACTCGCAAACTTCCCGGAAAGAAATCCGCAGATTTGCGGGCAGTTCCTGCTTCCCCCTTGGGGTGGAATTATATCCTATACCAGAGTGTCAGTTAAGTCTTGAAGTGTCTTGATCAACCAAATCTCCCAAATCTTGTTGTTGGAGCCTTGGGACTTCGAGACATGAGCCCGTGCGAACACACCGACCGGTCCTGAGCAATGCCACTTGCATTAACGTGAAGACCAAACCTTTTGATGCACTGTTTTTTAACACGGGTGCTTGGCTCTCGACGCAGGAGCCTGACCAGCTTCCGTGACAAAGCTCCTTCACGCGGATCGAGGCTGCTTGGGTATGAGAAGTTTCGATGTTGCTTTGCGCTCGATTTGTACGAACCCGAGGAGTGCTGGTTGCTGTTTACTGTTTTACACGCCGGTGACATAACACAGCAACTGCGCTGCTCAGTACTATTGCATCTTGCCGATGTGTGTTGCTGCACTGCAGATCGCCTTTTCAACACACTTGCCGGCGCCGAAAGGAAACCTGCCGCGTGAAGGGTCCTCGAAAGATCGGCGGTGGAGCTCCGGCATAAACCTGCAAAGCTCGAATCTCCGGGGGGGTTTGGGGGTGTTCGCTGCAAGGCTTAGTGTCCTTCTGTTTTCCCTCTTGCCTGGCCAGGGTCTGGGGGATAGTAGTTCATGGTGCTGACGGGATCAGAGCTTGGGGTGTCTTTTGGGGATATGGAGCTAGCTGAAAGGGCGCATAATGCACCCAAACTTGGAATTTCAGGTGAGGAGCGTTGACAATTGCTCAATCTGAATCATGTTGGGACAAGCGCCCACAGGAACATGATAATCGAGCTCCCCAATAATACTGGATTCAAGATGGAACTAAACAGCGAAAGCCCACATGCTCAACACTTGAGCCGGACACCAAATGACAACCAGGACCCCACGAAGAAACCACCAGGAGACCACCATGATTTTCCGCAAGTGCTGGCGGATTCAAGACGACGGCCCAAAGCTTAACCCCCACCCACTGTCGGTATGTATGATACTTTCGAAAAACTGGTCCATGTAGTGTAACTACCAAGGAGTCCGGCCGTTGGGGGTAAGTACAAATGCAGGCCACCATTGGGTTCGGAATACGCACCCCGACTGGGTCTTCCAGCTGCCCGTTGCACACCCGTGTATGGACTTGAGGCCCCGTCTATGACAGTCTGCACCAAATCCTCAGTTTGATACATATGGCAGTGCACAGTTGCGTGTGTACGACAAATCGGGGACTCAATTTTGGCCTGCAGTTGTACTTCCCCCTGACTCATGTGCGAATCCTGCTCTTCCTCTCCGGAAAAACGCACCAACATTGTTTACAAAGCCTGGCCGCTACAGAACTCAGTTAACCCCTAGCGAACATAATTTCGCGGTTTTGGGGGGGAAGAAGGGCCTGGCATCCATGATCTGCTGTCGAAAACTGGCGGCACCTCACTGGCAGTCACAAATTCTTAAGGCCCCTATGGCAAATCCTTATATAGTAGCCGAAATAGTAACCCTTATAGACCCCTTCACAAGAAACCTATTCTAATTGCGCAACTTCAGTTTCTCCATTCTTATCATAGTGTTTATTTCGGTGGGTCGCATTGAAACTGAGGATTTCAGATTTGTAAGGTCCCCAGGACATAGCTAAATCGGAGATTCAGGTCAGAAACTATGTCCTAATAACCTAGCATAGACTCTGAAGTTCGGAATTGGATCCCTTATTGAAGGGCAAGAGCCGCCGTATCTCACCTTGTACCTGCTCTGTTTACTCAGATTTACTCCTCTATGATATTCTGCTCTGCAACGAGCATCTTCATTTTCCGATGTCGCTTTTAGTGATAGTATGACGGGGAGGGGATCAATATCATGACCCTGCGTTCGGAATTGCTCAGTGGTCGGCCAGACAGAAGCTGCGGCTGCGGGTGGAAGCCCTGCATAGGGCGTTAAAGATCAGTTTCATGAGGGTTTGGATCCATAGACTCTTGACTCCGTAGACAGTCTGCAAGTCAAAAGACAGCAGCTGCTGGACCTGGCGCGTGGCTGGGTCAACGATAACCCAGGAAACCAGTCGCCGGACCTGCCCAAAGCGCATCGCGCGAGTATGCACATGCTAGAGTGCAGTCGCGCAGACAAGAGACTTGAATGAAAGGCAGACCACTAAGACCATATTGTGTATGTAAGCTGCCTGCGACCAGCACTGTAAGCCACAAAACACAAAATCGCCAGTCCAAGATTTTGAGCCGCATCCCCCCTCCGCAACCAGAAACCCCGGGCCTTGATTGGCAGATAGGTAGACAAATAGCGAGATGATGAGAAAACATAAGATAAACCAAGGCAACAGTGGAAGGTACGATGAGACAACATAAAATGAACGTACAAGTCAGTGTATTTATGTATGTCTGTATACGCATACAGTATATGTGCGAGTGTAGGTATACGTAGCCGTATGTATATGTACATGAATGTGTCTGTACTAGTGTGTATGTCCGGATACAGATTTCATTCATTGTATACATTTTTAGCACTCGCGCTCGACTGCTGCAGGCGAGGGTTTGGGGATGAACCTAGATTTCGATGGGCAGAGCACATTGGCTCTAAGGTACGTTAGCACAGTTCTTCTTGTACGTCGAGTATCTACTTTTTTGCCATCCACACACATATACAGATAGGTGTACATGTCTATACATACATCAAGACACACGATTACCTGCACACCCGGACGCTCCCGATGCCTTGAACCGGTCCGCGGCCCAGCTGCCAACTTGCGCGAAATGGTGCCTAAACCAGTCCCGCAGGATGATGAGTCTGACTACTCTCTCTGTCTCTCTTGCTCTGCTTCGCCTCCGACTTCACGCTGCGGGTCGATCATCAAACGGTTCTTGAACTTACGACTTGAGCTTGGGATTTGAAAAACAGACCTGGGTCTGGGCCGCCAGCGTCTGCAAACGACAGGCAGCCGTGTAGACCTGCAACCGGACGTATTCTTACTTTTTCCTTGTATTTTGATACCGCGTAAGGCATCCTTACGCCGGTTCGGAGCGAGTTTCTGCGCGAAGGCCAGGCATGTTTTCGGATTGATGTACAATCGGACAGGGATCCAACAAAAATCAAACAGGCATCAGGCTCTGCTGGCCAGAAAGGGCGTTGACGTTTAGGGGATCTTCTTCCTGGTGGAGGGTTGGGGTGTGAGAGACAGGGTGCCAGGGGCGGTGTGGTTGGGGTAGCCGTATGCATAACTCTAAGAACGGTACTAATAAAGGCAAAAGGTAATAGTAACATGGAGGGCAAAAGAGTAACACCATTCGTGTTTGACATAAAGATCGAAATAAACGCATTATATAGTCGGAAAACAGCAATCGTAGCAACAGTCAAGTGGTAATGGTAATATTAGCAACAAGAATAACAATAACAACAATACTAAACAAAATACGGTTATAGTACTTGTCATGAAATGTAAGGGCTGTCTGTATGCAGACATGTATTGTTGAAGCAATGGACTTGTTTTTTTGCCTCTTGCACGGCTGAATGATCGCGAAGCAAGGTTACAAGTGACAAGATGGTGAATTCACGGCTGGTCTGAGTTTGTGTTAACTCATGGCCACTTCAACAATGCACGGCCATTGTTAGATGCCTATTATGTTTAAGGGGATTTGCAGTCTCCGGGAACCCTAGGAAAAACCAAAGAGAACCTCGAGCGGTCACCAACCCTTATTCCCTCAGCCTTTCTTGTTTCGTCTCCGTACATGGGCGGTGTCCAATATTCCTTGTACTTGCGCGGACCCTGCGCGTGGGGACAAATATGCAAAATACATTCGCATGACGTTCCCAGCTTCAGACCTTGCGCTCCCCTTCGTCCGTGCATGCGTGTACCTGGCGCGCGCGGCCTTTCCGCATCATTCATCATGTTAAGCTTCGGCGACATAAAGCAAAGCAAGGGGTTTTCGGACGCAGCTCACATACTGCTACAGCTTTTCAGAGTTTGATATGTTTTGATCTGGACACTTTTGATACCTGCTTGATTGTTTTGCTGATCCTTACCTGCTTTTTGATGCCTATCCCCAGTGCGTCCTGCTTCCCTAGAATAACACACACCGTATCACGGCCCACGGAAACATGACGTACTGAGGCGTTCATAGGTTTCGGGAGGTCAGGCACGTCTCATTTACATGGGCAGCGAAGCACATGTACCAACCGAGTATCCCAACACGACCAGGAGGTGCGAAGGTTGGGAAGCCGTGATCTTGTAACCCGGTTATTGCAGCCTCCATTTCGACACCCGGTGTCGGGGTCCACGAGGCAAGGCTAAACCCCATTCCGCCTGCAGAACCATTTTCGCGTTGTTGCTGCAGGTTGCTGTTGGATGCTGAAGGGAGGCTGATCGACTCGCCTGCCTCTCGAGTCCGAAACTATCGATCCAAACTCCCTCCCACACGCCCTCGTTCCAGGACTCGCCTGCAGCAGCCGTCGCCTCAAGCGTTCATGGATTGTGTGTGCACACAGCTATGTAGGTTTTATTAGCACCACGGTGTGTTTTACACGGATCTGGTGTTGAGATACAAGGTTTCACAGGAGTTACGGCAATATGGCATAACGACAGCCGAAGCACGCGCGGTATGAAAAGGCACAAAACATCGGTGACCATTCTCTCTAGGCGAGAATACTAGCTCTCCCTAAGATCACCAAAGCCCAGCCGCCACACGATGCTATGAGCCCTGAACCTATATCTCAAGCCACTGAAAGCATATCAGTCCCAGCGACCGCACGTCATCCACGACCACCACGACTCTCGGCCTGGCAAAGACCAGAAGGCCCGATCAAAATCAAGATGCATGTCTTCTGAAATGTATGCATGCATGCATGCATCAAAAAAAAATATATATATATATATATATACACACATATATATATATATGTATATATATATATATATATACGTAAATATATACATATGTGTATGCGAAGACGCTTTCCAGCCGCACGAGCTTCGCTTTTTGCATCTGAGGCCTCCTCTCGAAGGCCAACCGGTCCGAAACTGCAAGCAAGCGGCTTGGAAGATCCGACAGCAACCAAACGAAGGAAATCATCCAAAGCCGCCTCGCATCATAGGACTCATCGAGGAGACCGTGCCGCTACTCTAACTAGTCGTCCTTCCCGACGGCCGCTAGCAGGCATCATGTCCGTAGCACGAGGATGACGAAGCTGCCGAAAGCGCAGACGTAGGCAGTGATGGGTACGACTCGTGCTGACAGTGGTTACAGCAATAGCACCACCAAGCACAACAACGTGGAGGGGGAAAGTCTCAATGCCACCTCGCTGTGGAGGGGAGTGACCCGATCTGTGTACTGAACCGTGTCGAGAACCACCTGTGCCAAAGGTTATGGTTTCTCTGGCCAGTTGGCGTCGAGAGTGTTCACAAAGGAAGGACTTCAGCATGTGAGCCGCCCACTTAGCTCGTAAACCCTGCATACTGGCTACGGAATTTTGCTAGTCCGGCAAGCCCAGGGACGTTGCAGGATATTGCAACTTTTGAAATTTAGACTTTCTACTGGGCCTTCTAGACGCTTGCACGTATGTAGAACATGGTCGAGGGCAGGTCGTGTTGTCGCTGGGAAATTCCATACGCATCCAAGCCTAGACCAGTAAACAACCCGAAGCACCGGAGCCAGTTTTCAGTACGGACTGGGGTGCCGGCCAGCGCCTACGCAACTCAAGCCCCTACAAGCGGAACCCTACACACCCTAAGCCCAAAACAGCCTTCTATGCTCTACCAATCGGAATCAAAGTGCAAAGCAGCCCTCAAGGACAAAGAAAGGGCGCCTCCGCTAAGGGGGGCCTTTTTTATGATAAGGCCACTATGTTCCCTATATAATTCTAGTACCACTATACCGGCGGATTTTTACTGTATCGGCGGATGGGTATGTTCACCTTAGGTGCTGAGTAGGCAACCTTCAAGTTTTTCGGGGTCTCTATAACCAACCTTGACCTAACAGGCTAAGCTTTTCTGGGCCAGGATATTATTCAGCCCCGAAGTACCAGGATAAAGCATACTACTACTATAGGGACTATAAGGGGACATTGGATTGCGGTTTTTTTTGTGGTAAACCTTGCAGCAGTACCATTATCTGTAGGTAAAGGAACCTCAAATTGGATTTCGTTAGAATCGTGTTTTTGTTGGAGGTGGGGCGTATGTCCAAACGATATGATTGTACAGGGACCATAAGAGACATCGAATGGCGTTTTGGGGCTATATGACGTCGGCCGCTGCACCTGGAGCACCGACTCCCCAAGACGGAAGAAGTCCTCGGAGAGATGTGCAAAGACTCTCCGATCAGTATACTACAGTATGGTATGCACTGTAGTACAGTGTGGATCGGAGTAGAGTACAGCGTAGTGAAGTGCAGTAGAGTAGACTATTTAGGGCGTGTGACTTCTAGGGGTTTCCCACCTGCACAAAGCCTCAGGGTTGAGGGTGAGGGTTGCCAGACTCAGCCGTTGCAACAAAGGGTTGCATTCATTGAGCTCTGCATATGCGGTCCGTCTCACTTCAAGATAGAGAGTGGCTTGCCGTCTTGCCAAGACTCGAAGCCATGAGGAAAGTAGGTCTGCCAACCGCCTGCACGTCGACGTGACGAGTTTCGGGGGTAGGGCCAGGCGGCACAGGTGGACAACAGAAGCGCAGACTGCAACTCTCCAAGCTTCCGCAGCAGAAGGCACAGGCATGGGCCAGAAGAGCACATTGCCGACCGGAAATGCCAGAAACCACACTGCCCTTTTTGAGCCTCCGCCGGAAGTGACGACGAACATCGGATAGCGGCGCACCCCAAGTCTTTGCAGCACGTCCTTGCTCTCCAGGGTTCTGCAAAGATTGCAATGAGATTGCACTTGGCTCGCTTGGCAGGGCTCTGTGCTATCACCTAAATTGTTTGGGTTGCCGCAGATCGCAGATGCCCCAACGCAGTCCCTGAACCTTTCGGCGTGAAGTTTTTTGTTGGTGAAGTTGTTTACTTCTGAATCCGCTGGCTGGGCACCTCCTCTGCTGTGAAGACATTCAGGTGGGCAAGCTTCACCTCGCTGACACATTACACATGCGAATTCATGCGCCCCAACTGCGGCGTGGTGCCACAAACGTGCATCTAAGCTTCCGAAGGTGAGCCTAACTGCCTAATGCAGCCGTATGAATAAACCTAGGACAAGCATGTTGCTCCTCGCCAGTGCTTCAACGGCTTCTGTGACCCCAGCGGTCACGAAATCGTAAGCCCGTGCCTTCTAAAACCTCGATCAAGCAGCAAGGACACATTTGGCCTCCTGAGCGACTTCATTCATCCATTGGCCGAAGTAATGGCGCCTGAATCTCACTTCAAGGGCCGCCGCTTCACATGTGATGTGCTTTGTGTACTCTGTTTGTTCTTCTCTCCGCAGCATTCCGCACAATATTGCACAAGAGGCCGCCATTTTGCACAGCGCTCTGGTGCGATGATCTGACATGAGCCTTTAAAACAGAAAAACCTTAGAGCGTGCTTCAACCCTCAATCCGGTTGGAGCTTCTCTGCAGCTTCTGGCGGAGCTGTCTGTGGAACAAGGGCTGAATGCTGAGCTACAGGCTGGTCTGAGTAGACATGGATGACGTAGGGCCTCAGAAGCTCGCGAGCTTAGACCTGTCGTCTTGCAGTTGCAGCCGCATCTCTTCCTCTCATTTTGTCGCACCAGTAATCACGGCTTAACCTCAGCGCTCCCCTTCCAACCGCCGAGGCAGCAGCTCGTTCATGCCCAAGATTTCCGAGAGCCGAGACAGGCTGCTGACCTTGCGCGCACATAAAATGTCGCATTAGCAGTACTGTCCACAGAGGTAGCACGATGGAAAATGGGCCACATGCACTTTTTCATGTTCTGCACATCGATATCAGAATCACCATCACCATCACCACCGTCGCTCTCCGCCCTCCTCCTCTTCATGTGATCATCACCTTCGCCATCGCCATCGATCGTCAACAGCAAGGCCACCATCAGCCTTAGGCCTGCAGCAGCAGCAAAAGCAGTCACAGTCAGAACAGTCAGAACCAGAATCTGCGAACTGTCACGAAGCTGGAGCGTTGGGCTCCTGGGTCTCTGCATGCAACAAATCAACAACTCTGACTTCTGGACAAAGCGATGCGAGGCTTTCACCGGCTCCCCCGGGGGCTCGAAGCCACCACGGTCGGCACCCTCCCACCTGGGTCACTACAAGAAGTTCAACAAAGGGTATCAGCAGTCTCATCTAGGCCTGATGGAGGGTTTGTGTCTGTCTCGACTGTGAGGGTGCCGCTTTTCACGGCTGAAGGTTCAGCCTAGTGGCAATTTCGGCGAGATTTTTGTCCAATGCACATATGTTTCGACTCCCACAGAAACCCACACTCCAAAGCCTCAAGACCCAAACCGTCATGCCATGCACGTTGTCCGAGTCACTCTTCTCCAGACTCTTCAGAGAAGAAAGCCTCCAGCCGTACATGGTTCTTCAATTCTCCTGTTCAGTATTTGCCATCTCGCCCATCGCTTTCGGATCGAGGCACCAAGAATTGACGGTTGAATGAGCGTGACAGGCTGTCCCTCGCCAAGATTTGTAGGCCGTGTTCATGGTTTGGCAGATGTGAGGTTTGGAGCAACCTTGGAACTGTTGAACTCTCCAGCTGAATCTGGTGGCCTCAGCTTCTGTGGTATTGTTGGAGCACGCCGGAAAGAATCGGACACGGCTCTCTCGATACTGAATGCTAAGGCAAGGACTACACCAGTATCAAAAGGCTCAGCGGAAGCGGCTCGGGGCATACTCTTGAAGACTCTTTAAGGCCGGGGGCTTGAAATCATTGTTTGCGAGGTAATCTCGTCCCTCGGTCATGGTTTTCCATCTTCGGAAGAATTAAAAGCCTATTCCAGCACATCAAGACAAATCCGACCATGCACTAGCTTCGACACTCGCGCACCTGGTCGCCCCAGGCAAGTTTCATTTTAGCGCGTGGCTCGGACGACAGGTGGAAGTCAGCAGTCGAACTGCTGACAAAGACCGTAACGCAGCCTTGGAGCAACAATCAGCTGCATCAACCTCCCTCCCGGCACCAGCATGCCCAAGGGGCCAAAACTTCCATTCCGCCGGTGCACGCGGAAAGACGACCTGCGAGGACTGCCTTGATCGCACAACACTTCGCCTCTGGTGCTCGGACCAATCGTGAGCTCCGCCGTAGCCCAAGCAAATGGAACCTAAGAGTCGGACTGTTTGCCCTCCTCTGAACCTAGGGCCCTCTGGGCCATACGGTTCGATCCCACGTGGCGTGCGGGGTCATGTCGGAGACTGTCTGAGTTTCTGAAACTCGAGTCCGTACGGCCCAGGTTCTTTGAAAGCCCCGAGTTTATCGGAGCAAGACAGGTGTGACTGGTGGATATCGTCACAAGGCTTCCTCTACGGTTTTACAAAGTGGTGAAAGGCATTGAAGAATCTCCAAAACGTCCTGGCCCCATGTAGCTTGCCGAGCGGAAGTGTGCAAACAATATCGTTAATTACTAATTGAACGCACCCCGAACCTCCTTCCAGGCAAACGCTTCGTGGGCTTTGGAGTCATATCGAGGCGTTGGACTAACTGTTGTCGAAAGAGTTCCCTTTCGAACACCTGCAAGCGCAGCCGTGGGGAGCTCAAAGCTTCTGAAACACGAAATCTCTCTCTCGAGGCCTAACAGGAAATCTACGGAATGCCAATTCGGACGATAGTCTTTCGCATTTCAGATGCCACAATTGACACACGCTGTGGCGTTCTCAGAACGTATGCAAGCCTGCCAAGCTGAAGTGAAAGAAGCAGCGGCTTGTTCAGCAGCATTGCTTTCGCCTGTGCTGCGGCATGCACGAACTAGCCAAGACCATGCCAAAAGCCTCTAGAAGCACGACTGCTTCAAGATGCGCTGGCACCATGGTCATCTGATTGTCTTCGGAGCTCGACAACTCTGCCCAGCAAAGCTCTGACCTCATCCCTCGTACAAGATGACAGAACCTGCTCATGGTAAGCTTCTGGGTTTTTTGCCCCACGTGCATCTATGTTCACAATATAGAGTGGCCGCTTGCTGAGATCTTGCTTTTTGACGTCCTCAAGCCACGACTCGCTGCCAAGAAAGACAACGCAGGGAAGATCCTGATTGTCCCTCTGTGAGTTGAAGAGCGCCGTGCGGAAGTCCCGCCGATTGCAACACTCCACAACATCCGGAACACCCAGGGCTTGAGCATGTTGTTGAAAGATGAAACGCTCATAATCCTCCCCGCCAGCCACAAGGATATCCATCTTGCCCTTGAAGCTTGGTCGCCCAGCTCCTGCAGTCCATGAGCGCTGCGCAACCTCAGCACTGGGGACTTCTGCCAAAACGGAGCTCGGAGCCAGGGCCGGATCTGTCGAGCTTCTTCCAGACACAATGGCTTCGCTACTTGGGCGTGCCGCTGCCTCGCCTTCAGGTAGCATGCCTTCGCCTGCGTAGGTGCATGAGACGACCTGCCAGTGTCCTCTAGACTCTAGCCGGCTTGGGATTTGAGCCGAAAGGGTTATGGGCCTCCAAATATAGTAAAGCACCTGCTTTGACTCTGACGCCGAGATCTTCAGTGCCTTCTGATTGTCATACCGGCGACGCTTGTCGGCGTCGCCCAAGACCTGCGCGGCGAAGCTTAGGTGACAGAGTGCTCGTCGCGGCTGAAAGAAATGTCTTGTAAAGGAAGTTTCCCATCCATTCAAGCACTGCTGTGCGACGTTCAAGCACCTGTCACTACACATGAATCAACAAAGGACAGGCAGTTGCAGCCGCACATGCCGAGGATGGTGGCCCCTCCTACTCTTAAGGTCGTACAAGCCAAACGCGGGGCCATTGCACGCACGCAAAGAACTCGAGAGACCTGCCTCGTAGGCTTGTTGCACGGCCTCGGACCACTAAATGTCAAGCCATTACCCCTGCCCTGACTTAGATCCGACTTCTTTCGAACCCAGGCTCTATGCCATCATCAGCTGGGATTTCTATTTGTCCCACTGCCTGCTCTCTGCAAACTCTGACCACGTCATCTGTCTGACACCTCTGTCTGCCTGCACTCAGAACGAACACGAACTGACAAAGCCCTCGGTGCTTTCCTTAATGACATGTTTCTGAACTCAGCAAAACGGGATTCCTTCGTGGTTTTGTCACAAGGTGCTGTTCGACAGGGCTTGTTAGAATAGCCCTCTGCTGTTGTCTTGTAAATCCCAGCGCCCGAAGGGATGTTGTACGAGACTCCGAGGTTTCATAAAGAAATCTCCAATCATCCATTCCCGAGGCGAGGGCGATGAATTCTCCTGGGCATGTGCAGCTTTCACTGTCCGTACTTCACGAATTCTGGAGATTGATTTTCGCTACAGCACCACTTACCACGCACATACGCTGTCACTGGTCAAGTCTCCTGGCTGCTCATAATCATAGACTTGCAGACTTCCACAACAAGAATCACTCACCGACATGTTGACCGATGCAAGAAACTCTACAAAGCCAATGTGCTCCAAGTGTCGCTGAGCCGTTTCCTTCTGATCAGGATTCTTGTCCGGGTGCCACCTTTTCGCGCTTGCAAGACGCAAAATGTAGCAAAGTGGATCTCGAAACATGTTCGAGGCTGCAGCACAAAGAGCCGCCCCAGAAACACAACCCATCGACCCGAATGCACGTGAGATCACAGATGGTCGTTCGCCTTAACACTATGACTGCCATGCAGACATGGTTGATCTATTGGATGTATTGATGCCACCTGAAGTGCCACTGCTACTGCTACTGATGCAGCCACTCTGAGCGCATGGCTTTAAGGCGAGCTTCTTGTAGGCTCGCTTGATGTCCGACTCGGAGGCATCCTGCCACCCATTTGCATCAACTCAGCTCCAGGGAGAAATGCTGAATCGCTGAGGGCTTCTCTCTCACACTCGGACCCACCCTTCCGGGCAGTTAGGACTTAGAGACTTAGAGTAGCTTTCGGTCGTTGGTTCTCTTGTGATCCATCGAAGGTGTTTCCATGAGGTTGCCAACACTTGGCTGCCCCCTGGCCTGGGCGACTCCGAGCACCTCGTAGTAGTCCTCGAAAATTGCAGCAACTTTCAAGTTTTGCCACGCCGCGTCAGATGTTGAAATGCCTACCACTAGGATCTATAGGAGACATCAGCTGAATCTGCCTTGAGCTGACGCACCTGAGTACCTCTGCTGCTCTGTGTGAGGCAGTTCTCCACCTACTGAAGTTCCTGACCGCGCCCTTCGAGCAAGGTCCTTCTCTTTCTGTGACCCTCCACAAGCCAGCGGCACTAGCACCTCGTCTCGGAACCATCAAGCTCAACCACAAGGAGATCAAAGGGGTTTCCCTGGCCGAGCATACTTCGCAACAGTGGCAGCTTGCTATAGTGAGTTGCCCTTTTGCGCACGAGGGAGGTACAAGTCATATCCCTGGCACGAGTACATGGATTCTTGTGAACGCCCACCACTTCGTGCTGTGCGTACAAGGCGAGACGACTGCACAGGTGCTGACACCTCAGAGCCCAACCGCCAAGGTGAGGGCCAAGCGCAGCAGCCGGTTCTGCATGGCCCTTGGAGAGAGGAAGGCTGAAGGCATAAACAGCATGAGCTTTTATGCTTGCTGCACACTGAGAGGGGAGCTAATAGTATGATCGGTCAGTCGGCGAGGGCCATGATTCATGAATGAAGGTGATGTTGATGGTGACAGTGCCTCGTCGTCGTCTCGACAACATTTCGATCGCCACTCTTCTCTGTTACCATCGACATGATAAAGATACAGAAGGAGCACGCGTTTTCCGGTTTGTCATGTATACTCTTTAGCAATGCAAGACACCCCAACAACACTTCAGTATCAACTAGATTGAAACATCAGGACTCATGCTGATGCGATTAGCATGTCCTGGGGCCGCCTCTGAGATAAGGAACGCCCCAAGGATGTGGCTGCCACAGACTTGGAGCTAGTCTTTGGTGACTTTGGTGAACCATGAAGCCACGCCGCACGATGTGCAAAATACCGAAGCCTCCCATTCTTACCGGTAGGGGAGATATACAATAGTATATGCAGACGAAACGAGAGATCGTGATCTCAGTCGTCTGCGACTTGCTGGATGCAGCTGCGTGCCATCAGCGATGGATGTGGGCTGCTGCCCTAGGCACTTTTACGAGCTGTCTGCAGCATCAAGGTGATGCCATAGTGGCCCACATCAACATAATCATACATAGAAGTAAACAGGCTTTAAAGTACTCCCGGTTGTCGGCACGTGCTGCGTGCCGTTGCTGGCGCCCCCTCAAGTGCTCGTGCGTGCTCGCTTACGGTGCCAACGACACTAGAATCACTAGAACATTTCTCTTGGAGTTGGTTGCATGGTAAGCTTTTACTTTTGCCACGTCGGAAGAATGAACACCATGCTTCCCTAAAGCTGTACCTGTGCTGTCTGTGAGCTCGGAGAAGCCAACAGCAACAGGAGAGATGGTCCCGCAATGCAGCATCTGATGCATCTGGCCAAAGTTTTACTACGGACATTTGGATGAGACAAGAACAAACGTGTCCCACCCCGTGGCATTCGGCGACAACCACGACCGACTGGTGCAAAAGTTCTGTTTGTGCTATACTTTTTCAAACGAGATCCTCAGCCATCCATCAACAGGGTTTCCCATGTTGATGCAAGCCGCAGCGATGTTGCGCGGAAACGCCGCCTCGGGGCCACTGTGCTGTCGATTTGGGGTTTCGCCCACATACTTGCGTGAATGGCAGGCAATGGGCTTGGCTGACTTTAACAGGGATTGTCAATGATCGAGTGCCATGGCCCGTAACGTAACTTCTATAGCAAATCGCAGTCTGTGCGATAGCTACTGCAGGACCCAGAAATCTCCAAACGATCGTGACTCACTTTACACTTGCAGCAAGAGCAGCGCAATCTCGAGCTGCAGCCAGTTGTTCAAAGCGACCTGCAAAGCAAGCTGACATGCTCACACCGAGCCGATGCTAGATCGCTGGGGAAAGATTTGCAAAACTTCGGACCGCGCAGATCAATGGACTTCAACGGCTGATCCCCAGCAGCAGACACTTTGCGAGAGCAGGCCTGCTCGGCCCAGAACCTCAATGTGAGTGAAAAGGAAGTCACAGACTGCATGGGCAAAGAAGCCTTTTTGCAGCAGGCCTCGTTGTCCAGCAGCCCGGTCCGAGCGAGTCGTCTTTACACTTGCTGAATACAAGTTCTTTGTCTACTACTGCGACTGATGCTGCTGCAACTGGTACTGCTACTACTACTACTGCTGCTCCTGCCACTATTACTGCTACTGCAACCGTTGTGGATCTTGATGCGCACATCGTAAACGAAAACTGAGAAGATCCTTCAGAGCCCCGGAAACTTCCAGGTACCCTCCTGCAGTAGTCATCCCCTATAGATCAGCAAAAGCACGCATCCAGCTCTCTGGAAATTGCGATGACTCGCGCCGAAGCATACCTCAGGTTGCTGAAGCTTTTCCTACTTCCGCCAAAGTGTTCTTGCGTCTGGCGAGGTGCTGCTTTGCGACCCTGCAGCCATCATGCTAGCAGCAATTCCTAGCATGTAAACCATATAGACAGGATCCAAACATTCCGGGACGACATCGGGAAAGCTATGACTTGCCCAGCCGAAACAGCTGGTCGAAGAATGGGGGAATCGTGTCATTTCTACATCCCAAACGTTAATATAACTACTAAAAACATGAGCAAAGGGACCACTCTTCCGCGTACTTGGCCTCTTCCAAGCTCTGGGCATGCTGGCTTGCCTCGCTGGAGAACAGAATAAGCACTTTTAGCATCAGCTCAGAAGCTGCCCTTGTGGATGTAGACTGCAAGGAACTAAAGACTGCGCGATGAAGCAGGGCAGCATGATGTCAAAGTCCCTGACGAGATCTTCCAGCTTGGTGGTTTTGTCCTGTGCCGAGTGTTCTACAGTTCGACAGCCCAGCAATCCAACCAGAAACAGCAGCTTGTTATGCTGGGAAACCCTTCAGCCTTCAGATGTAACAGCTAAAGCATTCAACATGCACAGCTGGTCCCTCTTCCCGAAAAGCTTCCCCAGCGCCGAGGGCTCTCCGGGATCTGAGCAAGATTCGGGCGGATTTGAAGGAACTTTGTTGCGGGTGCAGTTGACGAAGAAAGCTTTCGCTAGCCAACGTGTTCAACTGCACTCGCCGCGGAAAGGTTGTGAACGACGGCTGGGCACTTAGCCTGTGCGGCTGCTGAGCCGCTTCTGCTCAACCTGACAACATTTCTTTTGCAATTGTCTGCCACTAGAAACCGACTGCATCTAGCCGAATCTAGCCCAAAAAGGATGCCAAATAACACATGCCGTGCGCCGATACCTCCACGAAGACTCTCTTCTGCTGGGCATCCACGAGCCTGGTGCGGCCATTTCGCATCTACCCTTGAAGCCTCGGCCTGAACCTGGACCTTATCACCAATCAAGGCTGGACCTGTCTAGAGGGAACAGCAGGCGGAGCTACGCTGTTGTAAAGCACAATGTTTTTGGCGGAGTCGTCCGCGAAAGAGTTGGAACCCGTCTGCCTGACATCCAACACTGCCTCATACGCCAGGTAAATCCACTTGCGATTCTTGCATGGAGCAGCACCAACACGTCAAGGGAAGCTCGAAGTGCAACCCAAACGCCCGGAATAGCGCCCAATCCCGGAGTTGCTGCAAATGCAGTTCAACACACGCTGAA